ATATATATAATAAAATTCCAATTAATTTTTATCATAAATTAGCTGGCTCTTATCCTATCTATTCCTCCTTAATTAACTGCTAAATTGTTTAATCAAATATTTAAATATTACCGTTGCCTTCAATTATTTTATTTGTACGTATGAATATAAAATAATGAATCTAAACACAATCTAAAAAATATTGTTTTAATCTCTTTTTAATAAAACTATTTCCGAACTATGCAGAACTATGCCTGTTTTTATCTTAAATATTTAAAATATCCTATAACACAAATGAACTCTATCGAGAGAACTGCTTATGCTAGATATTTTGATTTTTCTTCTAGTCCCTCATTAATTTACTTGGCTTATAACTTGGATTTGTTATTTTGAGCACTTCAATTTAACAAATTCGGTCGGCAACCGAAATCTTTTGTAATCTTTTCGAATGACCGTGAGATCATAGAATACGAAGAACCCCAGCAACACGCATGCAGATCCTTTTGCATGCGTCTCGGACTAATTAGACAAGCATTTACTACTCATGCGTAATAATGCTAATCCTACTTTTCGGTGTCAATACATAGCCAGCAGTTGTGATAGGATGAATCGGGATACGATCGAAAACGTATGTACGCCGCCGGCGCGGCGGTACAAGTACGCACGTACGCACGCACGCACGCACGCATGCATGTACGTATATACACATGTACGCATACACGTACGTACAGAGAGGCATCGTCGTACTAATCCAAGCTGAATAGAGAGATTTCAATGTTTTTATGCTGGGGCACAATGGAGTACCCACTTGATGCTTAGCTCTCCACTGCTTTTTATTAAATCTACGGTGCGCCGACGCCTGATGTGGACCAGGAGACTCGGGCAGAGTAGGGATAGTCGAGAGGGTGAGGCTTGCAGAGCGAAATTAAAAATTTATTTACCGTGCCGATTGGGCACATGTCGCGAATCATTATGTCGTGAGGCGCCAAAGAAATCGCCTACAGGCATAAAGATCATCGATAGAAACGTCCGCATAATTATTGAGATGATGAGGGGAATCGTAACGATTCATAAATTCACAAATTGATAATTTAAACAATTGATGAAAAATATTAATAAAAAGAATAATAATAGTCATGATATAATCAGTGGACGCAATTTATAATATTTCAATAACAAAGTTTTTGATCTTATTTTGTGTACCTAAACGCGTATATTATTCAGCTTTTTGAATGTTCTCGACCTTATGAGCTTTTTTCTAGAAAATTGTATTATCTTAAATTATTTGTTATTCTTGATATCACGTTTATAAACGGATCTTAAACCTTCCATTATATGCAACAATTTCAAAAATATAATAAAACATTTTTTAACAATCATAATATATTATTATGATAAATACAATAATATATGGAAATCATTTCTTCTTGTTTATGTTTATATCTATTGTGTATAACGAAAATTTAAAAGTAATATTCCAGTAAGTAAGAAAAACAGTAACATTGTAGCAATGGTACAATGTTGCTACAATATTGTTGAAATGTTCTGAAATATTTCTTGCTTACTGGGATATTATGTTCCTAAGAATTTTAAGAAACACAGAACTCATTCATTGTTGAAATTCCCTGGAGACCCTCGATGATCAAAATTTTTATAGCTCTGGTATTTAGCTTAATCATCATTTCTTAATTTGCAAAAATTTGAAAAAGAAGAAAAAATCTAAGTTTTAGGCCGAATGTATAAATATGAATCAAGTAAATTTATCTTATTTTTACAACCTGTCTTTAACAATAATTGGAAAAGAATGGAAAATATTTTTGTATGACTAG